GAGTTCAAGTTCTGTCCCCGTGAGTTTGCGTTTGGGTCCAATCCCTGCCTGCCACACAGCGTTTCATGACACATACTCCGGAACGGTAGGAGGCGGTAATGCTCCTTTACGTTGGTTGCCAACCACCGTTAAACACAAAGAAGAAGAAGAAGAAGAAGAGACAAAGGGGAGCGACGCACGAAAGGCGAGCAGGAGAAAAAGAAAGGCGTGCAAGCCCGCACATGTGTTAGAGGAACTGCTGCCTGACTGTGGGGTGCCACAAGCCGTTCGGTGATCCAGTCCTAACGGCAGGAACAGCAACAGTGGGTGGCGATGGCCGCAATTCACAGCAGGGCAGGGGTGCCCCTCTGCCTGCATCTGGCGGTGCTACGAGGGAGGCCGTGTTCAGGTGTGGAGTGAGGCGGGACTATGCGGTGACGCGCTGTCAGGACGAGACAGGTCTGCGACAGGAGCCCCCTCCTTGGTCTTCTGGCCGGTGTGGTTTCCATCCCGGAAGAGAAATTCCTCTCCTGTTTCAGATAAGGAAAATTTGCCCACGTGTGGCTGGACTGTGGGACTATGGGACTGTGGGGGGGATTTTAGCATATGGGAGACATTTGTTTAGCTTTGTTTTAATAGTGTATAGCCATTTCTGCCGGCAGGGTTTTTAGCGTATTGAGAACACTCTTTTTTATTGTATATACGGGGGATTTTAACTTGTATTTGTGATTCTGGCTGTGGTTGTTTTTTATGGAAATAAATGGTGTGTGTTCAAAGCCAGCTTAGTTTCTTTGCCCTGAGCGCTGACCCACTCACTCCCCTTCCTTCTGTATGTGAACGGACTTGGAGGTGAAGATTTAGGTCCACCAGTCTTAGCGGCTACATAAACAATAAATATAAGAAGAGTAAGAAAATTAGAACACACATGCATCAACACTACAATGAGCGGGTGGAGGGAGGTTTGGAGTCTTCTCTCACCCCCGTTCTCTGCGACCTGCTGGAGCGGGGGGGCTAGGAGGAGGAGTTGGCCGTCCGACTGTGGTCTGGAGTGTGGGGCCTCCCTGCTGCTGCGGAGTCGGGGCAGTCTGCCTCCCCCCACCGCAGGGAAAAGGGTAACACCACCTGGGTCTGGGTGCAGTTCCCCCCTCCAGGGACAAGGGTACCTAGACCCGGTTTGTAGAGTACACTTGGGGAGTGTGATCGTGTGTACAGCGTCTCTTTATGTCTGTCTCCACGTTGGTTGAGTGTGGAGTAAGTGCATATGAGAGCATGAGGGTGGGAATGGATGTTTGTGTCTGTGTGTGCCTGTATGTCTGTGTCTATATGTCAGGTTGGGTGTCAGGCGCCACCTCTCTGGGGACATCTCAGGCCCTCCAAGGTTTGGAGGCCTATCTCCCCTACCACCACTCCCCCTGCCAGTGGCGGACTCCCTCAGAAATCGGTGCGTTGGTGGTTCTTTGTGTCCGGGGATGGGCGTCCAGGTACACACCGGCTCACTCCTTGGCGGCCGCTTATCGGGGCCTGCAGCCTGGGGCTCGCTCGGGCCACTTCGGAGGTGGGGTGCCCCCGGCCTCTCGGCCTGGGGCTCGGTCACTCAGGCACGGTTGGCTGCCGGCGGAGCTCACGGGCGCGTCACTGCAACTCCCCCTGGCTTCTGCTCCGCGGCTGCTGAGTGAGCCCTCATCTGGGACTCTCCTCAGCTCTTTCTGGGACAGTGGCACGGCTGCCCCTCTGTTGGTCTTCCTTGGTCTCTTGTGTTCTGGGGGCCTCTGGATGTCTGGAGTTTTAATCACCTCCATACCTGCTTCATGCCCTGGAGGACGGGGCTGTGGCCCCCCCACACCCTCTAGCAGATTATTACATGAAGGAACCTTTTAAAACAAAAAACAAGCGCGTCCATGCTCACAGGTGTACACATGGGTGATCACACCCACAAACTACACCCTTTTTGGCTCCTACCTCAAAGCACACTGTGTTCTGTTGATCTTATGTGCTGCACAATAATGTTTAACATTTAGTATTTACTGTCATATTCCCATATATCATTGTGATGTTGTTTATTCTATTACTCTTGTTCTCTTCTGCTTGTTTTATTTTATTTTTCTCAGCAGGTGATCCAGGTGATTGATATATGCATTTTTTTTTCTGCCCGTTCTGTTGGTTTTTGTTTTTTGCCCTTCTCCCCCGTCCCTCTTCTCAGCTGTTTCTCTTTCCCTCTTTCTTTCTCCCCTTCTTTCCCCCAGTCCAGTCTGTCCCGTATTCAGTAAGTGAAAATAAAATAAACAATAAAAGGTGAATCAAATGGACCATTGCGGCAAGGCTGGGATGGTCAATTTGGTAAAGTAAATCCGTTGGGAATCTTTCTTTGCCTTTAGACAACAATTCTGATGGCAAAAGAGCCAAATGGGACAGGCAAAAAAAAAAAAAAAAAAAAAAAAAGTAAGAAAATAAATATACACTTTAGGATTAGGGGTAAGGGGATCAATAAAAATTTAAAATGTATAATTTACAGTTTGTTGATTTAAAGTCTCACACACAACCTGTCGACAGAGGAGGGGGGCAGGCTGCTTCCAAATAGAGCACATTTCATTCATAATGTTGTAAATCCAAGCCCATTATGTATTCATGATTTGTTCCTAGGTTGTGCGAAGTCCCAGAAATAAACAAAGTGAATCTGTAAGCTAAGTGTAGGTCTATTAGGTAATGTTGTGGTGAACCCATGTTAGGGGATGGGTGTTCAGGAGTGCAAAATTAAAAACAATGGAAGATGAACAAGAAACGTTCAAAGCCATCAGGTGCTCAGTTTAGAAAAAAGAGAAAAGAAGAGGAGGACAAACGAGCATAAGATACCGGAAAGCAGATGTGTCATTGGATAATGGCCGGTCATGTATCCTGAAACAATCAGAATCATATTTAGAACACTTTATTAATCCCCAAGGAAATTATGTGGGTTACAGTTGGTCCAAGAAAAAAATGTAAAAGTAGTAACAGACTAAACTCCAAACAATACATTGTTACAGATTTTACACATTTAAGAAATAGCATTAATATATACAGATCACTCAATTATAAATATCAAGAATTAACAGAGGTGAAATAAATATAAAGAAAATTGACAAGAATATTACAAAGTAGAGAAGAGCGTGTGTAAAAAGGGTGTAAGTATTGCAGTGTTTACAGTAAATGGCCTGTATTTGTATAGCACTTTATTAGTCCCTAAGGACCCCAAAGCGCTTTACACATTCAGTCATCCACCCATTCACATACACATTCACATTCACACACTGGTGATGGCAAGCTACAGTGTAGCCACAGCCACCCTGGGGCGCACTGACAGAGGCGAGGCTGCCAGACACTGGCGCCACCGTGCCTCTGACCACCACCAGTAGGCAACGGGTGAAGTGTCTTGCCCAAGGACACAACGACCGGGACTGTCCGAGCCGGGGCTCGAACCGGCAACCTTCCAATTACAGTGTATTAGATGGAGGAATTGTACAAGGAGAGGGCCACGGGCAGGAATGATTTCCTCCTGTGTCGTTCCGTGGTGCTTTTTGGTAATCTCAGTCTCTTACTGAACGTACTCCTGTGACTGACCAGCATGTCAAGGAGTGGGTGGGAGGTATTATCCATGATTGTCCTTATCTTGGAGAACATCTGCCTCTCAGACACCACCCTAAAAGAGGCCAGCTCCATCCCCACAACATTACTGGCCTTGTGGATCAGTTTATTTAGTCTGTTGGCATCTGTGACCCTCAACCTGCTGCCCCAACATGTAAGAGCATGGAGGATAGCACTGGCCACAACAGAGATACAACAAGTTAACATTAGTAGGAATATATAAAATGTCCATTTACGTTTGTTAACTACTTGGCTATGATAGGAAACAGACACTGATGTAGCTTACTGTTAGGTTTTGTATTGTTGATTGTCATTTATGCTTAGAAATATTTAACCATATATTCTTAGAGGTGTATAATCAATTGTGTAGTGATAGGTTGTGTGATCTTTAACAGGCTGCAAAGGCTTGGTGTGTATTCCACACTAGAATGCACACCTACATCCTGGGAGCATGGGAAGAGGTCGTACCGTGTCTTATTGTTTTATGGTAGGATTAACGTAGTTGCGTCTGTTCTAGTCTAAGTGCTCTTTGTTTAGATGAACTGCAGGACTTCCTCACCGTGTTATCTAGGGTGAGGGGGAGGCTACCCTCTTCCTGACCAAGGATGTTTGACCCTTTGATCAGCAGTCCACACACACACACACACACACACACACACACACACACACACACACACACAGGCAAAGTACTCTTTGTGTGTATGTAGACGTCATATGTTAATGAACTTATGCATATTCATGTAACCTCAATAAAAGAACAGTGGTACGGGAGAACGGACGAGAACAACTGGGGTCAGACGAGGGAACGGCGTCTGTCCGGTTCTCTCCCGTGCACGAGAAACATGAAGAACTTTGCCTACTTGTGTCTTGCTTTGCAGTGTAATTATATTGTCTTCAACGTTCCAGCGGATGGGTTCAAGCTAAAAACCTATCACTTACTAAATCTTTTGGACTGTGTACGGCACAATATTAATTAGTCATCGTCAGTTGTTGATTTGTCCTATTCTCATTGTATAATGAATTATGATGGCTGTTTGTTAGCCATTTGCATACTATGCATACTCTCTCTCTCTTTCTTCATTTAGAGAAGAAAGAGAGTATATATATATACATATATATATATACACATATATATACATATATATATATACACATATATATATATATATATATATATATATGTGTGTGTGTGTGTGTGTGTGTGTGTGTGTGTGTGTGTGTATATACATATGTGTGTGTATATACATATGTGTATATATGTTCCACTGCTTTAATCTACTATAATACGCACAGCGCAACATGAAAACTGTAGGAAAAATGAGAGTGATGAAGTAAAAGTTTATGGTAGGGCTGGGAAGTCAAACCAATTTATGGCGCTCTTCAAAACTATTTAAAACATAAGAATGAACTTTTGCATCAACAGTCATGATGACAGCAACCACCGTAATGACACCAACAACAACTGCAGATGGACATCCAACATCCACAACAACACCTCCAACTACGACAACAGAACTACCAACCACTACAACAGCACCTCCGACCACCACAACCACACCACAAACCACTACAACAGGACCCCGGACCACCACAACAGGACCACTGACCACCACAACAGCACCACCAACTAATGCAACAATTCCACCAAGCACTGCAACATCACCTCTGACCACCACAACAACACCATCAACTACAAACACAGCACCACCAACAACTACAACTGTACCTCCAACCACTACAACAGAACCTGCGACTAGCACAGTGGCACAACAAACCACCACAACAACTGTATATCCAAGCACTACAAGAGCACCTACGGCCACTACAACAGCACTACCAACCACTACAACAGCACCACTGAAAACCACACTAACAACACCAACCACTACAACAGCACCTCCAACCGCCACGACACCACCAACCACGACAACAGCACCTCCGACCACCACAACAGCACCGACAAGCACTACAACAGCATCACCGACCACAACAACCGCAGAACCAACTACGACAACAGTGTCTCTGACCACAACAAGGACAACCCCAACCACTACGACTGTACCACCAACCACTACAACAGCACATCCAACCACCACTACAACACCAACACCAACCACTACAACACCAACACCAACCACTACAACAGCACCTCCAACCACCACTACAACAACACCACCAACCACTACAACAACACAAACCACCATTACAACAACAACCGCTACAACAGCACCTCCGACCACGACAACAACACCACCAACCACAACAACGACAACCACCATTACAACAACAGCAACCTCCGCTACAACAGCACCTCCAACCACCACTACAACAACAGCACATACCACTACAACACCACCACCAATTACTACAACAGAAACTCTAACCACCACTACAACAACACCACCAACTACTACAACAGCACCTCCAACCACCTCTAAAACAACAGCACATACCACTACAACACCACCACCAACCACTACAACAGCACCTCCAACCACCACTACAACAACACCAGCAACCACTACAACACCAACACCAACCACTACAACAGCTCCTTCGACCACAACAACGACAACACTAACCACTACAACAGTACCTCCAACCACAACACCACCACCAACCACTACAACAGCACCTCCAACCACAACTACAACAACACCACCAACCACTACAACACCATCACCAACTACTACAACAGAAACTCCAACCACCACTACAACAACACCACCAACCACTACAACAGCACCTCCAACCACCACTACAACAACACCACCACCACCAACAACAACAACACCATCCACCACTACAACAACACCACCAACCACTACAACAGAAACTCCAACCACCACTACAACAGCACCTCCAACCACCACTACAACAACACCACCAACCACTACAACAGCAACTCCAACCACCACTACAACAAGACCACCAACCACTACAACAGAAACTCCAACCACCACTACAACAGCACCTCCAACCACCATTACAACAACACCACCAACCACTACAACAACACAAACCACCATTACACCAACAACCGCTACAACAGCACCTCCGACCACGACAACAACACCACCAATCACAACAACGACAACCACCATTACAACAACAGCAACCTCCGCTACAACAGCACCTCCAACCACCACTACAACAACAGCACATACCACTACAACACCACCACCAATTACTACAACAGAAACTCCAACCACCACTACAACAACAGCACATACCACTACAACACCACCACCAATTACTACAACAGAAACTCTAACCACCACTACAACACCACCACCAACTACTACAACAGCACCTCCAACCACCTCTACAACAACAGCACATACCACTACAACACCACCACCAACCACTACAACACCACCATCAACCACCACTACAACAACACCAGCAACCACTACAACACCAACACCAACCACTACAACAGCTCCTTCGACCACAACAACGACAACACTAACCACTACAACAGTACCTCCAACCACAACACCAACACCAACCACTACAACAACTCCTTCGACCACAACTACAACAACACCACCAACCACTACAACACCATCACCAACTACTACAACAGAAACTCCAACCACCACTACAACAACACCACCAACCACAACTACAACAACACCACCAACCACAACTACAACAACACCACCACCAACAACAACAACACCATCCACCACTACAACAACACCACCAACCACTACAACAGAAACTCCAACCACCACTACAACAGCACCTCCAACCACCACTACAACAACACCAACCACTACAACAGCAACTCCAACCACCACTACAACAAGACCACCAACCACTACAACAGAAACTCCAACCACCACTACAACAACACCACCAACCACTACAACAGCACCTCCAACCACCACTACAACAACACCACCAACCACTACAACAACACAAACCACCATTACACCAACAACCGCTACAACAGCACCTCCGACCACAACAACAACACCACCAACCACAACAACGACAACCACCATTACAACAACAGCAACCTCCGCTACAACAGCACCTCCAACCACCACTACAACAACAGCACATACCACTACAACACCACCACCAATTACTACAACAGAAACTCTAACCACCACTACAACAACACCACCAACTACTACAACAGCACCTCCAACCACCTCTACAACAACAGCACATACCACTACAACACCACCACCAACCACTACAACAGCACCTCCAACCACCACTACAACAACAGCACATACCACTACAACACCACCACCAACTACTACAACAGAAACTCTAACCACCACTACAACAACACCACCAACTACTACAACAGCACCTCCAACCACCTCTACAACAACAGCACATACCACTACAACACCACCACCAACCACTACAACAGCACCTCCAACCACCACTACAACAACACCAGCAACCACTACAACACCAACACCAACCACTACAACAGCTCCTTCGACCACAACAACGACAACACTAACCACTACAACAGTACCTCCAACCACAACACCACCACCAACCACAACAACAGCACCTCCAACCACCACTACAACAACACCACCAACCACTACAACAGCACCTCCAACCACCACTACAACAACACCACCACCAACAACAACAACAACATCCACCACTACAACAACACCACCAACCACTACAACAGAAACTCCAACCACCACTACAACAGCACCTCCAACCACCACTACAACAACACCAACCACTACAACAGCAACTCCAACCACCACTACAACAACACCACCAACCACTACAACAGAAACTCCAACCACCACTACAACAACACCACCAACCACTACAACAGCACCTCCAACCACCACTACAACACCAGCAAGCACTACAACACCACCACCAACCACTACAACAGCTCCTTCGACGACAACAACGACAACACTAGCCACTACAACAGTACCTCCAACCAAGACATCACCACCAACCACTACAACAACACCTCCGACCACCACTACAACACCATCAACAACCACTACAACAGCACCTCCAACCACCACTACAACAACACAACCAACCACTACAACAACACCTCCAACCACCACTACAACAACACCACCAACCACTACAACACCATCACCAACCACTACAACGGCACCTCCAACCACCACCACAACAACATCACCTCCAACCACTACAACACCACCACCAACCAGTACAACACCACCACCAACCACGACAACAGCACCTCCAACCACCACTACAACAACATTACCAATCACTACAACAGCACGTTCGACCACGACATCGACAACACCAACCACTACAACAGCACCTACGACCATGACAATGACAACAACAACCACTACAACAGAACCTCCAACCACCACTACAACAACACCACCAACCACTACAACAGAACCTCCAACCACCAATACAACACCACCAAGCACTACAACAACATCACCAACCACTACAACAGCAACTACAACCACCACTACAACACCACCACCAACCACTACAACACCACCACCAACCACTACAACATCACCTCCAACCACCACTACAACACCACCAACCACTACAACAACAACCCCACCAACCACTAAAACATCACCACCAACCACTACAACAGCACCTCCAACTACCACTACAACAACACCACCAACCACTACAACAACATCAACAACCACTACAACAGCAACTACAACCACCACTACAACACCACCACCAACCACCACAACACCACCACCAACCACCACAACACCACCACCAACCACTACAACAGCACCTCCAACCACCACTACAACACCACCAACCACTACAACACCACCACCAACCACTACAACAGCACCTCCAACCACCACTACAACGCCACCTCCAACCACTACAACAGCTCCTTTGACCACAACAACAAAAACACTAACAACTACAACAGCACCTACGACCATGACAATGACAACAACAACCACTACAACAGCACCTCCAACCACTACAACGGCACCTCCAACCACCACTACAACAACACAACCAACCACTACAACACCACCACCAACCACTACAACAGCAACTCCAACCACCACTACAACAACACCACCAACCACTACAACAACATCACCAACCACTACAACAGCAACTACAACCACCACTACAACACCACCGCCAACCACTACAACAGCACCACCAACCACTACAACAGCACCTCCAACCACCACTACAACGCCACCACCAACCACTACAACAGCTCCTTTGACCACTACTACAACAACACTAACCACTACAACAGCACCTACGACCATGACAATGACAACAACAACCACTACAACAGCACCTCCAACCACCACTACAACACCACCACCAACCACCACTACAACAACATCACCAACCACTACAACAGCAACTCCAACCACCACTACAACACCACCACCAACCACCACTACAACACCACCACCAACCACCACTACAACATCACCTCCAACCACCACTACAACACCACCAATCACTACAACACCACCACCAACCAGTACAACAGCACCTCCAACCACCACTACAGCAACACCAAAAACCACTACAACACAACCACCAACAACTACAACAGCAGCTCCAACCACCACTACAACAACACCACCAACAACTACAACAGCACCTCCAACCACCAGTACAACAACACCACCAACCACTACAACAACACCTCCAACCACCACTACAACAACACCACCAACCACTACAACAGCAACTCCAACCACTACAACAGCAACTCCAACCACTACAACAGCAACTCCAACCACCACTACAACAACACCACCAACCACTACAACAGCACCACCAACCAGTACAACAGCACCAACAACCACTACTACAACAACACCAACAACCACTACAACACAACCACCAACAACTACAACAGCAGCTCCAACGACCACTACAACAACACCTCCAACCACTACAACACCACCACCAACCACTACAACAGCTCCTTCGACCACAATGACAACAACTACACCAACCAATACAACAGCACCTCTAACTACAACACCAACCACCACTACAACAACATCACCAACCACTACAACAACATCACCAACCACTACACCAGCAACTCCAACCACCACTACACCAACACCACCAACCACCACAACAACACCACCAACCACCACAACAACAACACCACCAACCACCACAACAACACCACCAACCACTACAACAACAACAACACCAACCACTACAACAACACCACCAACCACTACAACATCACCTCCAACCACCACAACAACAACAACACCAACCAATAAAACAACAACACCAACCAATAAAACATCACCACCAACCACTACAACAGCACCTCCAACTACCACTACAACAACACCACCAACCACTACAACAGCACGTCCGAACACCACTGCAACAACATTAACCACTACAACAGCACGTCCGAACACCACTACAACACCACCACCAAGCCCTACAACAGCACCATCAACCATTACAACAGCGAAAGGTGAGTCTAATTCCCTGGAAAATTATATAGCATATGATAATACACCGAGACTTAAACAGATACCATATGGCTGAATAGATCCTATAGTGTGTTAACACCATGCTTGTTAAATAACTGTCTAACATACCACACAGAGTGAATGGGTTAAATGCAGAGAGGAATTTCCCCACGGGGATCAATAAAGTATACATTATTATAATTATTAGAATTTCAATCCATAATGTTTTGGTCAAATTTTGGTCAAATTTTTAATACATTTTACAGAGTTGGTGTGACAAGGGGAGCATCATCACAGATATTTCTTTTTTTAGTAACAGTAGCATTTCTTTTTGATTAGGGTATTTTTTAAGACTTCCGCATTATAGAAAAAAGGCATCTGTCTGAAGCAGACCAGTTTTATAACTTGAAGGCAGACTCTCCCCAATGATTTGAAATGCTAAGGACTTTAAATAACAGTCTCTTGCATGAGAAACCTTGATTTTCGCTATTATCTATTATGAGCTATTATTCACAGCCAACTGTTTTGAAAACAGTCTTTTATTTAATATAAACTGTGAATATCACAGGATGTGCACTAAGTAAAACAATTACTGTAAGCTCATCTGTCGGTTCTGTGTGCACATCTGCCATCTACTTTGTATAACTTGGAGTTTCTTTTTCCTTTGCTGAGGCATGCGCTGTGCAGCAATTTGGAACCTTAACAGTTGCAGTTGCTGTGTTTGTCCACCAGGTGGCTCCAACTATTCACAAAGCACATCAATTTTGAGGAAATTCATTAAGCTATTTTCTAACTCTGTTACACAAAGACTCTGCTTAGTTTCACTTTCTGGCTGCAGGTCCTAGTTTTGCAAAAGCATGTCGTTTCCTGTCAGTACTTTTAACTCAAACTCAAAGCTCTCTTATATATAAAACAATATAATCAGCAGATAAGCTTCAAAATATATATTTCAAATCTCAACACTAACTTTAGTTACCTTGGGAATTCCTTGGTTAACATGTTTGGTAATTCAGCAATAAAGCTGCATTTAAGTTTACTTTTGCCTGTGTGTCTGCATTTTGTGCCCTTACTTTGCCTGCGTCACACAGTACATGACAATGGGATGCGCCTCCCTGGCCAGCCAACAACGTTGTCCTTTTCGGGTATAGTTAGCAATGAAATTAACATACACTATTCTCACTGTGAGAATTTCAGTCAGTGAATATAAATTCAACCTTATCTCACAACATAGCAAATGGAGATTCTCGACTGTGCGTTTGTGGAGATAACATGTCAAGTAGCCTCCCCTACTCACAGAATGGATATTCAGAATAACCAGACTGATATTTTGTGGGCCATCATATCCACTACATCATGTTATGAGGGGAAAAAATGCCCCAAGCCACCAGGGCAGCAAAACAGCTAATCCCAGTTTCTCATGGAAGGACAGTCTTATGGCAGTAGCCAAATACAAGAAGCTTTTTCCCTGGATTTTGAGGGGGACTGAGAAACATGGAGAAGCACTGCTTACTTCACATGTCCAAAGAAAGCTGTTAGATGCAGCCTACCTCAATCTATAGCTACCACACTCGTGTCAGAGGCAGACCACTTTCAGACTGCCGTAACTGAAAGTCACTAAGAAGTGGCAGCTGAAGTGGTAAGGGCATTAATGTGTTTACTTCATGTTCGCTGCTTACCTAGCAGAGCTATCCAAGGACATGGCATCCAAACCTGACTGGAATCTGTAGGGAGAAATCACTGAGTTTACTGATATTTGCCTCCATGCGTAGCACTGTGCTGTCCAAACCATAGGTAAATCTATGGGGATGATGGTGTTGCTATTAAACCCATCAGAGATAGATTATGTGTCTTTTTATGAGCAATATCAGTTTGCTGATCCTGATCCAGTTGCTGTAGAGTCTTCCAGTTTGAGTCGGATGGGCCAGGCTTGCCATCCGATATTGTGTGTGTGAATGTTATCTGCAGCCATCACACATTCAAAAAGAGAAAGGACTGGGGTTAACCCAGGCCTTGTCCGACATGCAGATAGCTCTTTTGATGAAAAAACATGGGCTGCACAACAGAGCATGAAGAAAACAAATCATTTACAGCAAAAGAATTATGACAAAGAAAAATAATAAACAGTTCCTGCCTCTTCAAAGAAAGGAAAACGATGTTCTAGTTGAACTGGTTAATTCATTAACTGGCTTTGCTCATATATTCCAGTCTTCATTTTCCAAATGTATCAATTTCTGTGTGCATATCACATGATTTGACCAGAAGAAAGACGTCACCATCTCCAGTTCATGCATATTCATTCTTGCATAGGTATTGGTATTATATTCAGAAAACATTGCAAATTATATTGATTAGACATATTTTTAATAAAGTTAAAATAGTAAAGCAGCCCTCTGGCTGGACTCATACCCGTATTTGTGTGACATAAATAACAAGTGGGCTTTTTTTTCTTCTAACAACACCGAGCAGGTAAAGCTGTAAAGGTTTTCCCGCATACATCTTGGTCACTTTGTCTGTTTAACACCTGCTGCTGATTTAGAAAGCACACCTATATTAACCGGTGATACACTTCTGAGAATGGAGGGGGAAAAAGTATCTTTTTGGGGGTATTTTTTGTGATTTGTGTGTCAACCACAGAGGACATACATAAAAAGATCCTCTCAGGAGGATAGTCACAGTTTAGTTTAGGTAGCTGCCTGCTAATAATTACAAATGATGGTTTCTGTGAAAAACAAATCATTAACTTGATAGCCATCAATTGACATTCATGCCCTTGTGCACTCACTTTGCTAAAACCCTATGTGCCCAAGGTGTTTGCATCATCTGATCTATTACCTTAAAAGCATTCTCCCTGCCCCCTTTTTCTTCTTTTGAAGAAATAAACTGGTGACTATAATGCAGCCGCTGCCCCCCCTCCTCCCCTCCTCCCCAACCTGGAGCTCCATTTAAAGTCACTGATCATCTCCAAGTGCTCTATGGTAAACAGAAGCAGGTCAGCTGTCTGAGGAAATCATACATATAACTGAGCAGGCAATTAAACTGTGAATATCACCAGGTAACATGGGTGTGTTTTTAAAAATCAGCAGCAGGTGTTAAAAAGTGCCTGTATGCAGATAAAGTTAAACTCCAGTTGCCATTGAGCTGCTCAGTGGTGTTAGAAAGAGAATATTAGCTAGAAACACGGAAAATAGTTCAGCCAGAGGGCTGTTTTTCTATTTTAACTTTACTTAAAATATTTTTAATCACCATAATTTGCATTGTTATGTGAAGATGATATTAACACCAGTGCACATATGCATTTGCATGAACTGGAGATGGCAACCTTCTTTTTCTGCAAGGCCTATTCTTCTGTTGTATTACTGTTATATTGGTAACCAGGCTTACAGTACACAAGCTACTTAAGGTGTGTTGTTCTGCTAAGGTTGTTCCACTCACCAGCTAGTTAGAATTGGTGGAATGAGACAAATGTTTGTGAGGAAAACACAGGGAGGTGCATCCCATAGTGAGACGTCTCACTTATGCTACTCTGACAACTGAGGTTATGCAAGTAACATAAAGTTTTTACCAGTTTCAGCAACAGATTGAATGAGATTTTTAAAATGAAATTGTTACAAAAAAATACTTTATCTTTACATTGTCCTTTTGCCAATGGCAACACATTTGTTTCTTAAAATACAAAAATATATATGGGTTTCAGCTGTAAATTAAATCAGTACTTTCAGGTTATTAATTAATCATATTGTCCTAAAAGAACCAGAAGTGTGTCACAAAGTGAGACTGAATTGCATTTAAAAAATTGTATATTCTTTATATTATTTTATTATTGACTTCTAAGTGCAATGTTTTCAAACTCTAAAGCCCTGCAAGCACTGGCACATATGAAGATGAGGATAACTACCTACGGAGAGGTCAGCAATGCAACCATCATTAAACTTATTGAAGAGGTATGCCTATAAAATTATATTATTATATTCATATAATATATTTAAAATTTGTTTTCTTTGTGGATTATTTAAACTTGCTTTTGAAACTGAAGTAAATATTTAGATGTTTAGTCTTTGTGTTTTCTCTCTTTTTAGTTTTTTAGCAACCAGATCCTGAATGGAACAGCCCACAGTCTCTCTGTGACAAATATTCAACAAGTGAGAGTTGGCCCATAAAAGCTTTGCATGGACAGAAGTCAAAAGTGACTGAATAAAGACAACAATTCAAGGATGTACTTGGTTTAACATAATGTGAAGCAGCAGTATGACTGAACTGTCATACTGCCTCTTCACATGTCTTGAAATAAAGCAAGCCATCAATTTACAATTCAAGAAAAGAATTTCTGAGTAAAAAAGAAGATTAAATTACAACCAGCTTTGTAATTCCACACCTTTGCCTGTATTTTACATAAATATGAGAATTGGAAATGTGCTCTTGGTGTGAGTGTCAACTTGAAAAGTATAATAGAAATCTCAAACCAGGAAATTTGATCTGTCACAGATTTGTAAGAGGCGATATCAGTTCTTCAGCTCGAGAAGCAGAGGTCACTCTGACAAGCCTGGTAACCAGAAGACTGTAAAGCAAGCTTCTTGCTTATATAGACAAAGAAAAGTGAGTGAAGCATACCAAGTACGTGAATATTGTCCCTCAAATCGGGAAAATCAATTGTCTGTCAGATATTACTGGCAGAACTTGTTATTATGAGTGATTCTGTTGTACTCAAGGTCACCTTTCCAGTTCATTGGCAAGACAGAATTTGAAAGCATTCCTTTGTATTTTACTTTAAAGAATAACTAAAATTTGGAGGATGTACAACACACTGTGTGTGCAGAGAAACTCTGAGAAAGTTTCTGTCATGCAAGCCAACATTGTTGAGTGATTGTTTAAATGTCTTATTTGGCAAACTCCCTCTCTTGCCATTCAAATGTCAGGTGCATTTTAATGTTGGGAGAAAATGTTTTGTTTTGTTTTTGTTTTATAGCAATAAATCTATGCAACATATGCATGTTATATTATACTATTATTTTTGCACTAAAATTCTGTAGTGTAATGTAAACTTGTCTTTATAAGTAACCCAAAATTAGCTGTAATGCATTCCTGAGTAATGTGTTACTCTAATCATATTGCACTTTTTAGTCACATGGCAATACAATGTGTTACTGTGCTAAATTAAATAATCACATTACAGCTAATTTTGGGTTATTACTTACTTTGCAAAGGGTTTTTGGTCGTTTGCAGGGACAGATCGATAGAAAGCATCAAATATGTATTTTTCTTCCGGTGCACTGGCACTACCATCAGCTGATGTCAGTTAATGTTTGGCGTTAAATGCTCCAGCTGAGAAGTATAATGTGCAATAACAAATGTGTTACGTCCCCCCCACCATGGTGGAGGCAAAGGTAGGAAGGAGACAGCAACACTGGAAAACCACGATCAATCATAACCTAGTGTGACTAACAGTTTAAAACCTGCAACCAGTGTATAGGGTACCCCAGCTTACCTGTCCAGCCTCCCACCACACAAAATACAAAAAAGCCTGTTGGCAAATGTTTGTCATAAAGCAGCAGCCAGCAGCTGGCCAGGGAGCTGCTCATTTGTAGTGATCCTCGGAGAGTGATTGGCCAACTGTGCCCAGACCAGCCAATAGAAACATGCCAATCAACTTTGAACTGGCCAATAGGTGGAGACTTGACACCTTAAAGATAAAAAGAACACCAAAAGTAAAGCCACATCTCTTGGCACGTAACACCCCCACCCTTTAAGAACTAAACTCAGGGTTTGGTGAC